TTATATATTTTTATATATAATTTAATTACCACATCATTTTATACTTATTCAAGAGTTGAAACTAATTCAAATAAAATTTAGTTATACAAATTTACTGTTAATACAGGAATAACATATTTGTTTATGGAACACTATTTTGAACTATAAAATAAAATTTCCTAATTTTTATAGAATATAATGTAATAATTTAAGCCTTGTGTGTTGCATAAAACAAAATATTTTGTTTGTATTTGGAAGTAAATATTAGCTTTCAATTTCCTTTAAACTGTTTACTATAATAAGAAACACAATTATGTAAATTTGTAGAACTGCACATCTGTATTAGGCATATTACTTGACTTTAAGAATAGGGATATCTGTAGTTTGTGTACTGAACAAAACTATAATATGACCTCTATAAATCAATAGTATGCATTTTCACATTTTTGTGATTAATATCCAAACGAAAGCATCTGAGATGTAAAAAAAATTGCATCAAGTAAAAACTTATAATTTAGATGACAGTCAAATTTTTTTCTTAGGGTTTTTCTTTGGTAGAGATAAGCTTGCTTTGAAGTGGTGTCCACAAGATTTATACTTGTATTATTGTTTTCTACATTTTGCTTCTAAGTGCCAAACTTACCTTTACCAAAGAAAATAAAAATATGTCTGTCATCTAAATTATCATAAGTATTTATCTATCTGGTGCATCCGTTAATTTTTATCTTAATTTGATTTATTGATACACATAATTGGGAGAGTTTTTTAAATGATCTTATTATAAAAGGGAAAATTATCTGGTATGAATTCAAGATGGCAGGTGGTCTAACATAACAGGCCACACATTTTGAACCATGCTTTAGGCATCTCAGGGACAGAAATCAACCCCCAAACATTGGCAACTATGATTCCTGTATATATACAGTAGAATCTCATTTTAACAGATCACTCGGGCACCAAAATTCATCCGCTGTTCCAAAAATCCATTATATCATAAACAATGGATTTCTCGCACTCTCAGGAAAATATCCATTATTCGAAAAAATTGACATTTTTTTAACCCCCTGCATATAAGAAATACCAGTATTTGAAATTATTCAGTCTCTTGAGATTTCTATCCTTTATTTTATATAAACAAGTTCATACAAGACCATACATTATGCTGTAACATAGCTGACAGAAGTATGTACAATCATTAGCATTTCATATGTTAAAAACTTTGTCCATCTTCGTTTGCTTTAATGACGATGATGATGATGATGATGCAATGTTTCTGGACTTTTTTCGACTGACAATGCCACCAAAAGATGTTACTGTTATGCAAACACATGTCTGCAACAAAGATGCGGCACACCTTTGTTGCACACGTGCATATCTGAAAGTGTTAAGTCAGAAGTAGTTTCCTTCCACTAATCAATGCACTACAGGAGGGCACTAATGTGTGGCTGCAATGATAGGAGTGAGAACAGTGATGATTATGCACTTAGTTTGCACAGCATGCAACATATTTTTTTTAATTCAGTATCCATAAACATCCAATTATTAATTAAAGGTTGAAAAAAGTACAATGTTTACTGAAGATTGACATAGAAAAAAAATCTGTTATTCCGCTGCTTAATCTGGATCTGCTAAGAGATAAACTTACATTGATCTGTTAAAATGAGATTCTACTGTATTCAGTCAGTGACTTTGTGCCAAGTAAAAAAGTCACTGCTATGAATCTTTAGAAAGATTTTTAACTGTTACCCTCTATCTTTTTATCTCTATATTATTTCCCTTATTAATTTTAATTTGTAGAAGTTATACCATGTGTATGCTGATAAAAATTACTTCATTTGTACTAATATTTTAAAAATAATTGTTGTAATAAATTTTTAAAATTTTTTGTAAAGATTATAAAAAGGGTCTCCTCATATTTTGAAAGAACTACAAAATGTTCAGTCCATGATATAAAAGTTCCATGACTCACAACAGATTGTAGAGTTTCCCTGGAGAGCAAGGTCTGCAGGGCTGAATACAAAACACACAGACAAGTCGGCTCAACAATAACTGGGGTTTTAATTAAGGTTCGTTAAGTACAACGTGATATTCACACAAGGTGCGAATTAATAACAAAATTGTGTTATATCCGAGTCAATGCTATGTACAGTACATTCACCTCATTTCTCTCTTTCCTCCCTTGACTAGGGGACTCGCGACAAATGGCAAAGCATGACGACGAAACAGCACGTAACAAAGAGAATATATAACAAACGTTACTCATGAAAAAAAATCTTGGCTGCGTACAAACAATTGAAGACTAATCGGTGCCAACTAATCTTCCGCCGATCTTCTCTCACTGGAACGAGTTGGAGTTCGTCACCACACAGTTTCTATTCATATGAAAACCAATTTCTTCGCTCTTGTATCCCTTCTTCCTCCAGTTTCTCGCGTTCAGCGCCTCGATTACACACATCTGGCTGGAAAACCAAAGAACAAAGGTCCTTACTCCATGTGGATTACATCCCTATATATCATACTAACCAGATATTCACCACACATGACCTCAACTGGCCAATCGGGCTGCCAACACACGATTAACTGGGGAAGGGTGGTACCACGAAACAAAAAAAAAAGAAAATAGTCGCGAAGCACTACAAGATCTTTATAGGACAGGCTTGATATTTTGTATTATTCTGTGTTCCTCCAATTTAGTTTGCAGTTCCATTCTTGTTTAATTCAGGTAGATACTCACCCAAATAAACCAGTATATCTTGCAGACCCTGTTATTTTTCATAACCAGGTATAATTATTGTCAAAATTACATCTTGATTATCCTCTTGTTCACTATCCATATTGAAGCTAATTTCAATCCTGCAAGAATTCCTAGTCCTTATGGTTTCAAAAGTATCATCTGTATTATGTTGTGTCTTTTTCGGTGAACAGATGATCATCAGAAGCAACAAAACCAGCCTTCAGACAACTCTGAAATTCTGTCTTCAATACATGAAAGTCTTCAGTATCATTTACTGACAATGCAATTTCTTCTGAATCACCATATATCATGTAGTATGAAGCATTTAGTAACTGTTTCTACCGGAACAAAATTCCATGATAAGGCTAACCAGTGGATAGGAACCAATACAATTATAGTTTTCAAAATTTAAATGCAATTGTCAGTTTTTGAAACTAAGGCATTTATCACATTTTTTCTGTACAGAGATTTTATGGCATATATCTTTATAAATGCTGTAAAAGCTTCCAACAGAAATCATGTTAGGCCCTTTAATTTTGCTGTAATTTAATATTATATGATAGTGTGTGGCATTGTCCAATAACCATTAAAAAAAAAGGCAAGAGAAAGATTTTACTAATAGCCTTGAATCATTATGAGAAAATTGAAATGTCCATGCTTTACTATTGAATGACCATTTCACTGGTAGAGCAACACTGTTGATTTTATGTTTAAAGAGCAAGCATTACTGGTAATCCAAAATTTAACTTTTTCTTGTAAGCACCACAGTTTAACAACAAACATCTTTTATTCAGTTAACTGACAATAAATAATTTTTAACACTGATAGAACAGGACTATTTAAAGTTCATATTCTTTCACTAATTTGGAAACTTTTGATTCATCATTCAGTTTTCTAAACACTATGTTGTTTATACAAATAAATCTAAAGCTAGCAATGGTTGATTAGAAATTCAAATCTGTCCAATTGTCGTGCAGTCATAAGGACATGAGTTTGGAGCATATATCCACTGATAGATGCTATATAGTCAAATTACCCATGAAAATAAAAGCTGGATTAATTAGGCAGATGGCCATCAGAAATCAACTACTTTGTTTTTGAATACCAATAATGAAATAATTATTTACTTACCAAACAATCTTGTTGATTTCTTCATTTTCAGCATCCACTTCTTAGCACAATTGTCACTAAGCATTGTATCGACATGTTTCTGCCTTTTAAGAGATTACCTTCAGTACCTTGACACTAAATTTTCTTGTCACTTCACTCTGTGTTTGGCCTTGGTCTAACAAATTAACATCATGTTTTTCTGAAGAAGGATAAAATTCCATATTTCTTTACCATTCAAATGACATTTTTGTTTTTAATAATAATATACAAGTCTCTTTTAGATAAGTAACATGCACAGTATATATTATCGAAGAAACAGTGATCTTACCTTTCACATGGTCTTGAACACAATGTGGTGCATATAAATATATGGTATGAGAAAATTGGTCGCATTACATTTATTATTATTAATGTTTTAATATAATACAATTTTTCAAATTGCACATGTTTATCATAAAATATTTTCAATCTACATCATAAATAAATAGTAGTCATATGTGCAAACATACTTTGTCACTGAAGTGTCGATGTTCTATAACAGTGACTCAGTTTGGAGTAACCTTCAAGATATGCACCATGGAACAGATTAATTTAGGAAGAAAATAAATGCACAGAGTTCCAAAAATGGTTTTAACTCTCTATTTACTTTTTTTTTTTTATTAAATACTATGAAAATAATGTTGCAGCAGTTTCATCAAAACTTGTACAGTATAACATCTATTAAATATAGATTTAGAGAATTAAAAAATGTAAATTAATATTTATAACTGAAGAGGATTGGTGGTATGCCAGGTGCATTTCATCTGCAAAGAATTAAAATACAAAATTTTCAGCTTTTGATGATAAACTGAGGGGTTGCTCTGGAAAACTTAAAAATATCACCAACCATTTCACCAGTTTTAAATTTCTTTTGCCACCAATTTTACTTACTAATGCAGTTGCTGATAGCTTTATCTGTTTGGCATGTTGAAAGAAAAAGTAGCATGTTAAGCTGTGAAGCTAGCAATAGGAATCATTTTTTGAATAACTTTTTAGTGAATAATTCTGACTAACACATTTGATCACAATGCTTACAGTATTTTGCATGTTCTTTCATAAAAAATTTTTGTTTTAGTTCACTCAAAAAAGATCAAAGTGAAAAAAAGTCAACCCAAAAAATTCCCAAATTTTCTGTCAGTCAATAAAAAGTTCCAATCTGGAAACACTGGGTGGAATTACACAAAAACTGCCTTTGGTTCTCAATCTCACTTCCTAGTTTTCTTCCTGAACTTGTTGCGTGATGTCATGAAATCACTAGATGTGTAGTGCATGGGAGCTAGACATTCTGCTGTTTTTCCTGAACTGTGCTTTGTGATTCAATTTCATGCTAAATGTCAAAATAAGTAGATTAGGAATTTATTGACATTTTAATAAGAATATTGACAAGTGGCAATTTTGGCACTACGCAGCCTGTAAACCAATTAACAAACTATCTGAATACATATTTCTTTATGGTAAATAAATTTAATTGAATTTTCTGTATTTTGATAACAAAAAAAATATTAAATATTAACTGTGAATCCATTTATAGCTAGATAATTAAATTTTTAATACTCAATTTTTTAATAGGTGTAGACATANTAAATTAACACTAGTGCCACCCATCAAAACGAATTACGTCTTTAAACTCAACAACGAAAAGACTAAATTGAGTCTGTGCCTTAATCCATGTATCGGTTGGTTTTTCTCAGAAAACGAATTACAACGAATTTTTGATGTATCGTTTACCAGAACTTCTCGAGGCAATAAAATTGCTTGTATGTTCATCAATTGCAATCCGGATTCAAAAGAAACAATACTTTACAGTCACGACAACACTTCGGATCTCGGACTTCTCAGTTATTATTTACTGTCTTTGGGAAGAAGAATGGGTCATAACGTATTCACTTACGATTATTCCGGATACGGACAAAGCACCGGAAAACCTTCAGAATGCAATTTATTCGCGGATGCGGAAGCTGCCTGGGGTTTTCTTCAAGTTAGACATAATATCGGTCCCAAACGAATTATTCTGTATGGTCAAGATATAGGAGCGATACCTACCATCGATCTGGCTTCTAGATATAAAGTGGCCGGAGTGGTTCTACATTCTCCTCTCCTTTCTGTATCTCGTCTGATATTACCCATATTCAAGAATATAAAGTACCGTTTCAGTCTTCCGAGTGAGAAATTAGAGAAAGTGTCAAAAATTAAATCGCCGACTCTCATTATTTATGGCACCAAAGACAAAACAATCAGTTTCGATTGCGTATTTGCAATTTTCAAAAACTGTTCTCGCGCGGTCAAACCTTTATGGATAGAAGGTGCCAAACACGGAAACATCCACTACTACAGACAATACGTCGATCGTCTGAAGACGTTCCTTAACAACGAAATCTGGAAAAATAAACTGAAGAGATTATCGGTATTGACTATTCCAACTCTGAATAATCCACAACCTTCGATGTCGGCGTAACAATGCCGATAGAATCAGTTAAGGAATTCGTTAAATGTCAAAAATTTCAATTGCCTTTAACATTTTGATAACAAAAAAAATATTAAATAAAAACTGTGAATCCATTTATAGCTAGATAATTAAATTTTTAATACTCAATTTTTTAATAGGTGTAGACATAATAATATCAACATTTCTTGGATCCGAAGTAAATTCTCTTCGTCAAGTTTTGAAACCAATGGGACAATTTATTTTCATTGGTGAGTACTATTACCAAATTAAATGCTAATTTGATTATATTGCATCATATTTCATTAATATATATTTAAAAAGGTGCAGCAAATATACTTCAAGGAGAAAGAAGGAGTATTTTCCATTTGATAAAGCTTTGGTGGCAGACAAATTACATAAATCCCATAGAATTAATAAATAAAAACCATTCTGTTTGTGGACTAAATATTAATAATTTATTTGAGATAGATCCAGAATATTTCAAGACAACTTTGGAAAAAATCTTGAGATTATTTGAATCTGGAAAATTGAAACCAATCATACATTCTACTTTTCCATTTTCAGAGGTAAAATTAAATATTTACAAATTCTATAATTTATTCTTTAAATTTATGAAAATATCCAAAGAGATGTTGAATTTAACAATTATGAATAAGTAATCTACAAATGTCAATGAAGACTAAAAAGGTGACTAATGCCACTTCATTTGCATTGATTTAGTCTAATAGTTTATTTTTGCTATTCAAACATACAAAAGAAATCATACAAATACAGTGGGTGATCGGTTAATGAACACTTTTGCAAAAGATTTTTATGTTCGGACAATAAACACATGATCAGATAACAAACACCTCACAGAACAAACACAAGAAGCAACATAAAATAATGAATACTGATTGGTCTTCCCTTGTCTTTAGACAACAATTCAAAACTTTTTGGAGCATGGGAGACATTGACATTGACGCTCAACCTGGTATGTGCTGATTGAATAGTATTCCTCTGAACTTTGAAACTCTTCCTTGTAATTCCAGCCTTTTATTTTTCTGACAGAATTCTTTTATAGTATTTGTGAGGCTGTCGGGTGGGCACTCATTATGTTTTGCCCCAATTTTTATTTTTTAAAGGTGAGAGTATAATAGCAAAGGTAGAGAGTGGGCAGATGTCTGTAGAGATGGGCAGTATGCCTTGAACAGTTCTACAGTAGGCCGCAGTTCAATCTTATCTAAGAAAGATAGTGTATTATCAACAAGACTCGAGCAGCTTAAGGAGTAACAAAAATCACATCTGAGAAATAAAGAACATTGAAGAGCTCATAATGGAACCTGAAATGGATCTGACAACAGAAGAACGCCAAGAACATTTGAATGAAGAATGCCAAGAAACTTGGTGATATGTGTTTTCTTCTGAAAAAGAGAATTAATGTCTATATCTACTATTAAACATTTTTTTTTGAAGAAGTGGGATGATGTCAGAACGATGGTCTTAGAATGGCATCCAAACCAGGTTGAGGTTAATAGGCTTCGGGATCTCTACAATTACAATGCTATTAATTACTTCTGAAAATCTTGAAGAGAGAAAAGTAATCGACATTAGACAGATTCTTTAACCCCCACAAACAGAAAAAACATGACTAATAAAAATGCAAGACTGTGTATATATGTATTTCTATTATTACATATAAATAAACATAGTAAGAAACTATATATTTTTTATTTTTGGAGGTATCCAGAACAAATTAATTAAATTCCCATTAAAACCTATGGTAAATCGATAATCAGTTAACGAACAATCCGGATAGCAAACAAAGTCTTGGAATAGATTATGTTCGTTAACTGATCACCTACTGTATTTTTAATAATAATTCCATCATATCAGATCTCTAAGTAAACACAAAATCCAAGTAAAATAATAATATATTCTCTCTTTTTTTTTTTTTATTAACTGTAAAAAGATTGGAAGACACCCTATATATATGATCATTCTTTTGAGTGATATTTTGCCAGCTGATAGAAAACATTGAATACAAAAAGTTTTCCCTATACACTTTTTGATTTGACCTTGGATCCAAGTTATGTGCATAAAACTGTCAAGTTTGTAAAATATTATTTTTTGAATATTTCTAGTTCTAGTTAATCAATTTTGATAAACTAAATTCAAGGAAAATAAAAAAGTATTTATACTTTTTTAATAATCTTGAAAACATGATTCTTTTTGATAAGCGATGCCTTGTACAGGTCTTAGGAAGATCTAAAATTAAATAGAGACTATTAATCATTAATCTACTTAAGTACCAGGTAATGAAGCTAACTGCATTTTTAAATTTTCATGTCTATCAACCTAGGTTTGGGGTCAAAGTTTCAAAATAGTAGTACACAAAGCTTTATTATTTACAATCAATTACACATCTGAAGAGAAAAAATAAACTTTCATTTTAAGGTTTGTTTGGCAACCTTGACTATCTTTTTGTCTTAGAAATGTTTTTCTTGAACTATTCATGATTATCATATCTCAACACAAACAAAAAATGTTCTCGTAAATTTTTTCATTTAGGTCTTTGATTTCAAGATACAGTTAATTGAACTTGAATCAAAAAATTTCTACATAACTTGCAATAAAAATTTGTTTATTCTTGATTTCATATGACATATTCAATGCAAAAATGTAATTTTTCTCAAACATAATGTCTCAGAACACAAGACTGAATCAAAACAGTGTACAGGGAAAACTGTTTGTTTGTTATGTTAGGGCAATCTGTGTAGGGGGATGCCTTCTGGGAGGTCTTGTTAAGTGAAATCGGCTCCTATTTAGGCGTTATAGACGTGGAGAAAACCCAGAAACTCTATGTGGCCAGCCCGTCTGAGTGAGGCATGAACCCATGACCAAACTCCCAGTGTTCAGGGTACGAAGACCGCTTGGCCACTGGTGGGCACAGGGAAAACTATTTTGTATTCAATGTTTTCTATCAACTGACAAAATATCAATCAAAAGATTGGAGACATCTTGTATACTTACCATATAACTTCCTAAGGGAGAAGAGATTTTTTACTACATAGGATTGATATGCAGAATGCTATGGTAGCATGTTAAGAAATACTCTATACAGAACAAGAAAGTAATGCAATGGGAACTTTAAATTCTTATCTAGTTTTATAAGAAGGTCCAGGTTTATCACAGAACCCTTTAATTGTTAAAAAGTGATCAGATAATTATAAACAAACAATCTGTTACATCTTTTCATGTGCAAGCCTAGAATTATTAATGCCCATGATTTTGTCTTAGACAGTACATGGACTGCTATTTTAGACACTTATGATACTACAATTTTTTTATTGATATTCAAAAAGGGCTTTTCAACTTTATCTAGAAGCAGCATCATTATGTGTAGTGTTTGTCGAAGATCCTGTAGTGAGTATGGCCTAAATGCTATAGTGTGTCCTATTTAATTCAACTTTATAATCTCTTGTCCTGCCTTACTTACCCTTGATAGACATCAGCAATAAAAATTTACTTGGGTGTCATCAGAAGTGTGATTTTAACAAGCTACAGTATATGAAAATTTTTTTTGAAATGTCATCAGAAGATTTTAACAAGCTACAGTACAGTTTGTTAAAATCACCCTTCTGATGACATTTTGATTTTGTATATTTTATTGTGTAACTTTTTACTTTTTCCAAAATAAATATTCTGTTCTGTGATGCCATGATAATTTTTAATTCTTAACTAGCTTACCATCGCACATTGCTGCGATCTCAGAAGAAACGAAATTCAAGCAAACTCGTAATGATAAAATTAAATTTTCATTTTATCATTTTTATTGAAACTTATTATTGAAACTTATTATTATTATTCATTTTCATCGGGAAAACATTTCAAAGTGTTGTTTCAATTCTATTTATTTATTGGAGTGCTCATGGATACACGATATATTTTGTTTCTCCGTCTGGTGCATACACGAATAAATCGGAAGGTTTTCTGATGCATGAGCCAGCCACGTACAGTTGTCCACGCGAGAAGCACGGATTCTCCAAATTTAGCCCACACACTCGCAGCGATTGTCAGAAGCACGATATTCCCCATTTATATATACATATATATTTTAATCCTTTATAATTTTAATTATTTAATTGCTCCTTCCTCTCTTCCTTGGCATGTTGTGAAATTTCTGATAGTCGGATAATAAACTGTTTTATTGTAATTTGTCTTTTTAAATTATTTTGAGTCGATATTAAAATTTGAAAAAGGGGATACCTAGATCAGTAAAATAGGCGAATTTCTTCCTACAACTTCAGTCGTTGTTCAGGGTACAGTTAAGATTTTAACGAAGTTCGAGCGAATACATAATTAGCAAAAAAAGTCAAAATAAAGTGATTAAACAAAAATTATTATAAATATCGTAAATAACAGTTTACAAATGCATATATAGAGATATTTTTTGAAGGGGGGAAATGGTCTTCACAATTTGAAATCGATCGAACACACTGTGCGCGAATGCTCATGTAAACGCGCGCCATCTATCGTAGGATAAATGTACTTCGCGGGAGTGTATTAAAAAATTAAAAAACTTTCCAAAGCTTCATGGCAATCGTACTATGCCACAAACCTTCGCTGGAGTATATTAAACAACTTCTCAAAGTTTCACGGCAATCGGATAAACGGTGTGGTAATGCATGAAGGACACACACACACAGACATACATTCATTTTTATATATATAGATAATGAATGAATAGTGGGTGTCTGGATTAACATTTATTTTCTGCAAGTATGTTTGTATCAGATATTGTAGGCCATATTGATTTCACAACATAACTCATAAGAGGCATCCTAAGAGAAACAGCAACTTAACAAGTTAACTTGCAGTTGGCAGTCACATGTTAGTTCGCTTTTACCATGCAATTAAAAAAAATGGTTTGAACTGTACCTCTGGTAACAGGGATACAGTCCAAATCATTCATTAAATGTTGATGGAACTGGTTTCAATAGGATAAGAATTGAATGACAACATTCCTTAGATTTTGAATCTCTGATGGTTCTTGAGATGTTGAGCATATTTATTGAAACCAATTTTTTATGCAAATTTTTGATGTGCTTTTAAAGGCATAGGACCCTAAATTTTTCAACACTGCATAACACAATTTTATGATGAGACCTATTTTAGCAGTTTGAACATATCTTTAATGGTTGTTGAGTTAGACCCCAAAATGTCATATGATATGTCTTTTTTACACACCTTGTAGCTTGGAAAAACCAATCATCTGATAACTGGAATATGTTATTCTAACCTCCTTTAATAGCGCTTCACAATGAATATTTACTGAAGCTTTCTGGTTTAGCAATTGCAAAGTTATAAACATTTATTTGAACATAAAATTATAAAAGTTTTGAAACATTTACCTTAGATCCTAAGGTAGAGAAAAATCCATTTGATAGAATGATGCTGGGAACCTTTCCTAAATGGCATTTTTTAATATTGGTCTTTGTTTTTACATTAAAGCCTGCAACTAAGGAACATATTTAAAAAAATGCACATTATGAATAGCTCACTGTTGAGCACATGTAAGTTTCCTTAAGCTGCAATAAAACTTCTTTAAAGTTAGATTCTAGCACAGATTTTGTGTTCTTTAAATTTGTTTTATGTGATTAGAAGTAAAAAATTCAGCAATTTTACAAATCACATATTTGTAGGACATTTTCCATTTACGTAAAGTACAAAAATTCAAATTACATAGAGATGTAAATGTTTAGGGCTAGTAGTTTTCAATGAAAAAAAAAAGTGCGATTAGAAGCTAGAAAAAGTGCCCAGTATCTTCTTCAAAGCTTCAAGTTTAGCTCAGTCAGGAACCTGAGCTGAGTTGGACTGATTGGAAAAACATGCTGTGTAATCTATGGAGTCAATACTAAAGGCCCAACATCTATTCCAGCTCATGTACTTAGAAAAATGACACAGAAAAATGTACACTGTAATTGGATACAGTTAGGCCAGGAGAGCATTATTGGACCCACCCATTTTACCTGAAAAATGATTAGACTGCATATGCCTCTTCAACTGCAAGATATGCATAGCAAATAGCAGGGAGCAAACACAGCTACAGGAACTTTTGGTTATGATAGTACAAATGCTTTAGATTTACAGAAATTCTACATCCTCAATTTGACTCAGGTTCTTGGTGTGAGTTAGATCTGAAACTTTGAAGAAGGTAAACCACTGAGCATTTTTACTTTCCTAGCTCTGTTATATATAACAGATGGAAAGTATGGCAATTAGTCAAAAAAATGACTCCCCAAGATTTTTACATTTTTGGACTTGAGACCTTGAAGCATCAAGAAATTTAAAAAATTTGGGATTTTTTTCTGTATGTATGGATGTGTGGGGGAGCACAATTTTGTTCATCCTCTTTGAAGCTTAATTTCTGTACTTTTTGTTGAAAATTTCTGAAATTTTGCAGCATTTGTATATTAGGGGATTGATATTAAATTTTGGTGGTTAAAGGTCAACAGGGTGGGGAGATAAAGAGGTTGTGTGTCATATGTTGAATAGTGTCGGACTTAATTAATGACAATTTTACTCATTATTAGCATTTACAATTTTTTTTATAAAACTCATCCCTTCCCTCAAAATTAAGCATTTTGTCATTTTATAATAATTAAAAATATAAAGTTTTTAAAATATCATAACAGAGGCACCACAAACCGTTTTAAATATTGCCAGGAAAGTTAAGCAACTCATTACTGTATGTTTTCAAGAGCTTCTAGTCCCAAACTTTTACATCTTTGTTTTGATGGAAAATGTAACTAACTTATTAAAAAATTGGAAAATAGGCAAGATTTTAGCTTAACATTATATAATGCAAAATATTAACACAATTGTGTTATAATAATCAAAAGTTTCTTAAAAGCCAGATTATTTTTTGTTGTTATAATTTTTTAATTTGGCTTAAAGATAGGTGATTAAGCTGCCATCTTATGTTATGATGATAATATCCACTTTGATTAAATAATTAAAAAATTTAATCAACTTTTCTCACTTTATTTAGGTAAAGAAAGCATTTGAATGTATCATCCAAAGAAAAAATATAGGCAAATTAATTTTGATACCATCAAAAGATTTCTCTTCAATTGATGCATGAATTTACAGCCAGTTTCAATGCCAACAAAGAAATGTTATGTCCATTATCATTGTTATTTTTTGTAATAAAGAAATTTGTTTAATGTAAAAATAATATTTTAATTGTAATCAATCAAATAAAGTTTTCTAGATTTTAAATAGTATTTTTTATTGTTCATCAAGTTTATTTCTTTCTTTAAAGATTCTTTTCATTTCTCGCAATTTATCTGCTTTCTTTTTTCTCTTATAAGATTTTTCATCATCTATCCTCTTCATCTGAGCAGCCACACTCATATCTCCATTGTACAAATTGTCCAGTTTCTCTTGAAGCAAATTTCTTGCAATAATACGATTTTCAGGCAACTGTCTTGATTTATGACATTTAACTACAATACCTAAAATTAAAATATTAATGTTATTTTAATAAATCAAATTAATGAATAACTGTTTATAGCAAATTAATAACTTTTCTACTGCAGTAACTAATTACATTTGTGTAACATATACAGAGATGAGTGATCATTTCTTCAGTAGATAATTAATCATAAATTAGGACAACTCTATATCTGGTTTCATAAAATAGGTAATATTTTCAAGAGAGAGATCAGAAATTTACATTTAATACAACCCCTGGTCAAAAATATGGAATAATGTTCACTCTGCAGGATGTCATATAATTCAGCTTAAAGTTTGCAAATAATTATCTGATGTCTGTTTTTTTAGCCTTGCGTAAGACTAAAAAACAGACATTAGATAATTATTTGCAAGTAACAACAGAAAACAGATGAAACTTTTATACAAAAATACTCAAGAAACAACACATTCAACACTTGAGTAAAATCAGACAAAAATATGGAATATAGTAATTACAGATATATAAGTATGGAATTACTTATTAAATTAATACTGCCTGGGATTGCTTTTGGCCTTTATTACTGTTTTAATACATCTTGGAATTGAAGTGACTAATGTTTCACATAAGTCTCAGATATTTCTGTCCAGCTTGTTTGAATAGCACTCTTACATTCAGACAATGAAGCCAATTTCTTTTTTTGAACCAGTTTCTTCAAAACATTACACAAATTCTCTATTTGATTTAAATCTGAGCTATTTGGTAGCCAATCTAAATGTGAAATGTTTTTATCTAGAAACCATTGGTTTACTGTTTTAGCACAATGGTAGGATGCATTGTCATCTTGTCATTGATAGATGAAGTTTGAATCACCCAAATGTTCCTCTGCTGTTTTTAGCACAAAATTATATAAAATTTTCAAGTAAATCTCTGCATTCACTGCAGTATTGAAGTTTCCAAATGTCTAGGTTCTGCATCTGTCATGGCACTCAACTCTGGAAACAAGGCATTCTGTCAAACTTTTCATTGGATTTTCAATTGCCATTGTTATCTCCATATCCTGTGCAAATATGTGATTTTAGAAACAACTTGTTTCCAATGCATCAAATCTCAACTTTGCACGTTTTAGCCCACTGTACAGGTTTTTTTAAGCTTCTCAGTCAGATAAGGTTTCTGCTTTTCTTTTCTTGATATATAGCCATGTTCACTTAATGTTCTGCGAGTTGTTTTTTCAGATACCAGCTGCTTTCCAATCAGCAGTTATCTCTCTGAATGATTTAAATTGGCCTCCTCTAATGATTCTGATGAAGTTTGTCTTCTCATGTCATAGTTATGTGAGAAAGTCCACATCTATATTGATTGGAGACAGTTCCTTGGGCTTTATACTATATTTAGTTATAACTTTAGACATTGCACTTTTCACCATGATTGTAATATGAAATTATCAATTGTTTCTTTGCATCATTTCTTTGTGTTTTTGACATAGTTTCAGGCATGCCACTTTTGAAGGCTGCAATGGAAAAACATTAAGGCAACTGCTAGGCATTATGTGTCATGGATGACTTATAAGAAGAGAATCAGACATTCAGGTCTTCTATTCAAATGAAACTTGATGAGCATGTAGCCCTAAACACAAACAGCTCCTTGTCCAAATAATAGGACTCACTTCACAAGTGTTTCTGAAAAATGGACTCTGAGAGTTTGATTTTGAGTGTTTTTTAGCTTTTAAGTCTTTGGAAGTTTCACTTCTTGTAATGGCATTAGCCAAGTGGATAAGATGCAAAACACTGCAATTACATGATGTATGCTCAAACCTTTGCAATTTAGTTTTTTTTATGTGTAACAAAATTTATTTTACCGTATCATTATTATTATTCCTCATGTTTAAAGCTTATAAAACAAGAGATTAAAAAATCATGATGTCACTTCCTGTTTAGCAAAAAAGTACTCTCTCTAGATTAAACTCTTATGTCATTAAATAAAATTTTTATTTCTTCATATTTATTTTCATATATGATGTTTATTGTTATATTTGAAGTTGTAACAAACACAAGCACAAGGAAATTGTCTATAACATTAACAATAAAAAAAATGCTGCAATTATACTATCCTATTTTCATATCACACTTATTTTTTTCATTCATGCACAGTAATGTCTTACACTCGTCTGTAGTGACATAGTATGTAACCACGAGTGAAAATATCTGAAAATAAATATGAAGAAATAAAAATTTTATTTAATGGCATAAAAGAGTTTAATATAGAGAGACTACTTTTTTGCTAAACAGGAAGTGATGTCATGATTTTTTAATCTCTTGTTTTATAAGCTTTAAACATGAGGAATAATAATAATGCTAATGCTATAGTAAAATAATAAAATAATTTTGTTATACATTAAAAAAAAAACTAAATTGTGAAGGTTTGATCCTACATCATGTAATTGCAGTGTCTAGCACAGTGGTTCTTAACTGGTGTTCTGCGGAACACTGGTGCTCCACAAACTTAGAGAAAGTGTTTCACCAAAATTTGAAAATCTGTGAAAAATTCATTAAGACAAAAAAACAAAAACGGAAAAGCAAGTCATTGTTTTTAGTTTTATCGTCTTTACTTGTATTTATGTAGGCTTTTATTGATTTCTATTAGAACATGAATCAAATCTGCTTTTGCATGTAAGTGAAGCCTGTGTGCAAACAGTTGAATGACAACAATTAAAATGTACGGATGTGTTTCTTGTAAAAAAGGTTACTCTTATTTTTGTTTTTCTTCAAGTAAGTCCAACATTTTAGACAGATGTCAGTGTCATAAAATGTATTGTTTTGTAATTGTAGGTAGGAGTTCATTTGCGACAAATTGGTCTTCTAAAATAGCTCTTATTACCTCCAAAGAATTAAAAATAATTATTCAAAACAGCAAAATAGACAAATTTATAAAATGAAAATATGATTCTGCACTGAAAGTGCTAGTGCTAGTGCAAGTACAAGCAATATCAATAATGATACTCACAATGGGGAGAACAAAATAAAAAATGTCAATAGACAATTTTCCAATGATTATTTAGGTTTTGGGTTCACTTACATTGACCTTAAATTCTCCTTTGCACGGTTTGTGGGGAAAAGCTTTGTAATAGTGCAATGGTACCAGCAAAATTAAAACAGCATTTTACATCTAAACACACCAATCTCCAGTCCAAAGACAAGAATTATTTTCAAAGATTGTTGAATAATCAAATTAATCAAGGAAAAAAATTTTAAAAAATAGTAATAATATCTAATAAAGCACAAATTGCATCGTATAAAGTTGCCAAAATAATTGCTAAAAATTTAAAACCATACACCATAGCAAAGTGTCTGATTTTACCAGCATGTTCTGAAATAGTTCAAATTATGTTTGGTGATGACGCAAAGAAAGAAATTATGAAAATTCCTCATTTGGATGACACAATAAAAAATAGAATTATACATATGTCAGATGATATTAAAAAACAGTTACTAATAAGCTTTCAGAATAATACTTTGCTTTACAAATTGACAAGTCCACTGATATCAGTGGTATACCACATAGCTCACATACTTGGATTTGTTTGTTTCATTTATGAAAACAAAATAATTAATCAATTTTTATGCTACAGACAACTTTTGAATGCTCAACAGGATAGGATATTTTTGACTACATTTCGTCATATTTAGATAAATTCAACATAACATGAGACCAATGTGTAGAAATCTGTTCCGATGGTGCTCCTTCAATGATTGGTTCTATTAAAGGATTTATTACTTTTGTGAAGAAAAATCTAATATCATATCTACACACTGTTTTTACACCGAGAATCATTTGTCTCAAAAATATTACCTACATTAAAATCTGTATTAGACCAAATTGTAAATATGGTAAACTAATTCAAATCACAACCTTTACAAACACACCTATTTAAAAAACCTTTGCGCATCTATGGAAGCTCAGCACAAATCTTTAGTTATACATACTGAGGTAAGATGATTATCACAAGGTAAAGTGCTAAACTGAAGTTTGGAACTTAAGGATGAATTGTCAATGTTTTTTCAAAACAAATTTTTAAAACTTTTCTTACAAATGATATATGGTGTACAGTAATACCCTGAACTTACGCGATAGGTGGGACCGAGCGGTAACCATGTAAGTCGGGGTATAATTTCGCATATAAATACATACAAATAATTTTTAATTGGGGCCAGAGACTAACGAAAATAATAATTTAGAAAAAATGTTTAATAAAATCTTAGATAATACATATGTATAACAAATTAGGCCTATATTATTTTACAATTTTTCACATTTACTTGATTATTACGCCATAATTTTAACATTGTTTCCATCTTGGCAATAATACTGTGACGTTTACGAATGATGCTTGAATTTAAAGATTGAGCATTTTTCACAGCTTCGAGAATTTTTTCTTTGCCTTTTATAATTGTTCTGACCGACAATTCCGGTAGATCAAACTTCTTTGCCAATTCACAAATTTTCATTTTTGTATCGAAGTCTTTAATAATGGGTACGTTCGTAAAGTCAAACGAGTTAAACGCGTTAGTAACGAATCGTTCGAAAAGTCTAACGAAATAGGAATAACGATGACGTCATTCTCGTTTAACTCGTTCGACTTTACGAACATACCCAATGTTAACTTTACATTCCAAAGATAAAGTTTTTCTTTTCTTGTTTGATGCAGAAGAATTAGTTCTACTTCGTTTGGATGACATAGTAAAGTGTCTCAAGTCTCCGTAGATATAACAAACACAGAAATAAATAACACAAAATATATTGTAGCTATGTGTGGATTCCGCATGACACATCTGAACATGTAAGCTGAACAATAGTGTGGGGGGAGTGAGTAATCAAGGGATGCGTGGCGCTCAAACAAAAGACGAATCGACGAGATTTGAAAATCGCGTAACTCCAGGTTTGCGTAAGTCGGGGTATTACTGTATTGAAATGGCATATTTAGCTGACATCTTCAATTATTTAAATAATGTGAATACTGGTACGCAAGATAAAAATTAAAATATTCTAACATCCACTGACAAACTATCAATATTTAAAAAAAAACAAGTAAAACAACAAAGCCATATTTGGGACAAGACTATGTCTCGGAGACTCACTACTAAGCAGAATCACTTTAACACTCAAGCGGGTCTCGTTCTCATTCTCCAATCTTCTTTGGTATCGCTGCTTTTGAGCATGATCATTCAAACTTCACCAGCCACGACCATGAGGTCGTCCACGATGCATTTTCGATGAAATTAACTTATCCAGGTATACCCTATCCAATGTCAAAATTTCGTGAAGGGCAGGGTTGAATTTTTGTCAATGTGTAACGAAAATTTCCTGTTTTCGAAAAAATAATTCTGGCTATTGTATCGTCCGAAATTATATTTTTATTTTGCAAAAATAATACACAATTTAACCTGATTATAACGTTATTGGATGTAACGACAATCCTAATATAAAGTCTCTAGTGGCATGGCTAAAATCTGTACGTGGCACATCCTACCTTGTCTGTGATATCCACGTTGACCTCGACCACGTGTTCTGCCAGTAAAATTAATTGAGAAATGATCCAGGCAAATAATTTACTTAATTTGTCTGTTTAAAAAACTGCAATGTAGCACAGTTAATTTGTATCGGCAATGCAACATTTACAATAGCGTCAATATATAATATAAATCCAAGATTGCACAGCTGTCGACTTGAAAGGTTAATTAACATGAAGTGAAAAAATGTCTCTCTTGTCCCTGATGTCCACATTGACCTCAACCACGTGTTCTGTGTCTTTTGTTCTGTCATTAAAAATTTACTAAAAAACTGATAATTTACTTAATTTGTATCAGCAGAGTGATATTTACAACAGCATCAATATATAACATAAATCCAAGATCAGCTGTCAAATCAAAAGGTAGTAAAAATGTCTCTTCTCGTTAGAGTTTAGGAGCAAAGTGAGGTCAAAGGGTGAAGGTTACGTGCAGGCGCACTCAGTCCTAAGGTCAGAGTTCACTTCTTAGAATGACTGCGGGTAGTACTCTCCCCTACCTGACTTCGGTGGGGTGAGGTGGCTGTTTTGCCTGCTTGTAGAAGAGGGTCGCCATTTTGGATTTTATTTTGACTCGATTCTCGGTCCCCCGACTACCTTTGAGTCTGGAATTTTTTACGCGCAAATGATTTGGACACCTAATAGTCTGTGCCAAATATGAACTCTCTACATGTACCCCTTCATACCTCTATGCTGATAAGAACAGGAGGCAGTACGATTTTATAAACAAGACATAGTCTTGTCAAAAATCACTTTGGAGAATACACATAATTCAAAAAAGAACAGCAGACATGTTTCCTTCAGTCCAAAATATGATTATCAATGAAATAATAACTATTATAACACAGCATTTAGCATTATTAGAAGAAAAATTTGTGAAATACTTACCCGCACTGAATATTGAAAAATATGATTGGATATTAAATCCATTTTCTGCAGTCAATACATCAAGTTATGAGTTTTCGTTATAAGAAGAAGAATTTGTTACATTGTCAATGGATTGTACTCTCAAAATGAAATTTTCTGAAATAACAGTTGAAGAATTTTCAATTTCTGTTCAAACTGAGTTTAAAACTATTTCTGAAAAAGCGATTAAAATTTTATTAAATTTTCAACATCATACTTATGTGAGCTTGGATTTTCAACATTAACAAATATTAAAACAAAGAAACATGAAAGGCTGACAAATATAGAAGAGGAAATGAGAGTAGCTATTTCACACATAAGACCAGATATTGAAAACATTTGTAAGTCATCAGGCCCAAATATCATATTAAAATATTGTGACAATTTTTTTTTTTAAATTTCATTTACTGATTACATATCAGTCAATAACAAATAACAAACTGTTATGTATGTAATTTTTAATATATTATGCAATATAAAAAATACATATACTGTTTTATTTTATGACTGTGTTCTGCAAAAATCTTGTAAAATTGTAAGTGTTCCATGATTCTGAAAAGGTTAAAAACTACTGGTCTAGAATATTATCCACTTCGCTAATGCCACTACAAGAAGTGAAACTTCCAAAGACTTAAAAGCTAAACACTCAATTCTCAGAAGACCATTTTTCAGAAATACTTGAGAAGTGGGTCTTATTACAAGGAGCTGTTTGTGTTTAGGGCTACGTGCTCATCAAGTTTTGTTTGAACTGGAGACCTGAATGTCTGACCCTCTCCTTTTTAGTCCATTTTAATGCAAGACTATGAGGCATAGGTGACTTTGTGTAACTTTGATTTGTTAATACATTCTGTCAGGCCAATCACTACACATAAGACGACTTGTTTATAGATTCAGTAGATGGCTCTAAAAGCTTCATTTGCTGCCACAGCCTGAGGCACATATAATTTGTTCAGCTCCCTATGGAGAATTGAATGTGAACCTACATTCTGTGAAATTAGAAAAATTTAGTTTGCAACTGTGAAAATGAAAACAGCAAATACAATGCAGAAATAAAATGACAAAATCTAAAGGCTATATACAAAAAATAAGCTTGTTGAATATTCATCTAATTGGATTTTATCATCATGTTTCGTAATATAACACATGCACAGTACTGCACCTAAATGTAGCCCAATAAACATTTTCCAAATACTAGGCTAAAGTTGAAATGTAATAAAAACTCACAATTATTGTAATGATAATACAGAACTCATTTTTGCAAAAAATGTGACCTTTCATGCCTTTCTGCTGTTAGTGTTTTTCTGTGCATTTGTATAGCAATCTTGGCAATAGCAACATACTTTCCTTGTAGGACTATCTTGCTTCTGCAGGGTGTGAATGCTATGCTTATCACTGTAGGGAGGGTCAATACATTGGTCTGGACAGTGTTCCCAAGTAGGCTTTTTACTACTACTTTGCAGAACTTCATCATTTACAAGTGTCTCTGTCTTGGACTACAGTATGTTACTGGGATACAATGGGTATTGACCATAGTAATTCCAGTAAATAATCCACCATTAGCTTTCTGTAACACTTGATACCTCTTTGGAGTGAGGTTTAGTAGGATGCCATTTCATCCGAAAGACCTACTCCTCCTTTGACAAAATTATAGTCAATGACACATTGTGGCTTCATGTCAATGAAAACATCACTGTGTATTTCCACAGTTGAAAGCATGACAACAAGGCTTTTGTTCAACAATTTTATTACCTGGATTTTTTGATTATCTTCTAGTCCACAAACTTCATCTTTTTCAATTGCTTTCTTACCAAATATTTTAGAGCACCTTGCCTGTTTTTCTGAGAGTCTTGCACAGTCTCAGCTCATTTTATGCCATCAACTCTCAAGCTAAATACATGCTTGTGTAGAAGTTGTCAATGTAAAGGGATCTACCTTCATTCCCAAGACCATTGCAGAGTTTCATCGAGACAGCATGAAATTCCAGGATTGGACATCTGTTTTCCTGTGTAGATCTGGCTGGAATAAGTGTACCCATCCAGCATACACACTTATACATATAAAATTATTGTAGTTACATGAGTGAATTACATATCTGTATAATTAATTAGCCAAGTTTTAGCTCTAAGTTAATTCAGCTCCAACATTTGATTATTGTAAATCTTAATGTTAATATAATACATTAGATATAATTTGTTAGTTAACATTCAGAATAATTTCAGAATAGAATAACATGTTAGCTCAAATAACAACTTACCTGTAGGAATATGTTTAAGCAAAACACAATTTGATGACATATTGACTGCCTGACCACCTGGTCCAGATCCTCTTATAAACTGTTCTTCAAGATCATCTTCATTTATTTCTGGAACTTTTGATCTATCCACAATGTATTTATATCTCAAGAATTGTTGAGTGAAATAATTTTGTCTCAAAAATGTCTGAGAGAAAACTGATGAGTGATGTTTGAAAGGTACTTGACGTAAAATAAACTTATATAGAAACATTTTAACACTTTGTATTCGGAGATTATTTTTTCATATTAACCTTTTATTTTGTAGAAAAGTACACCCTTTTTTATATTGAAATTCAATTTCTTCTTTAGTCTGCAGATTTTTATTACTTTGAAATTCTGCTTTTATCCTGTTAAGAAAATATTTCTTGTCTGTAAACTTTAATGTTTTTGAATACTGCAATAAATTCTTATACAACAAAAGAATTTGCCGTTTTCCAATATTTTCCATCATCAATTTTTCCTGAAATAAATTATCAATTAAAATTTTTTTAAAAATTCAAGAGTTTCTGCAAAGTTATCAATAAATAAAATTTATGCAAATTACATATACCTGTAATTAAATTCTAATTAAAATTTTAAGGTTATATTAAACAACAACATATTTATAGGAGGTCAGTAATTTTAATGGAAAGTTTGAAAAAGTAGTCTCAAACATTTTTCCAGGACTATATCTGGAAAAGGATTTTGCAAAAATAATTTAATTCAAAAACTTCCAGTAGAAGGTGTTTTACAGGAAAAATACATGAAACAAAACAGTAAATAGTGAAGACTAACCTTAAAGTGACATTTAAACCTTAAAAATCTACTATTTTAAACATTACAAATAAAGTCAGTGAAAACAATGACATAGATCTGAATCTGTGTGATTTCTGGTTGTGACCATTTAAAAAATATTCATTGCAGTTTATACAAATTTTGCACAGATGCTCACCTCATACTCTTTCATTAAATTTTTTACACAATTTTCTAATAGATATGTCTTAAGTTCTTCCACATACATAAAACTTTACTCTTGATATTATTTTTTGTATTGATTGAAAGCATTTTTGAAGATTTGTAATGGAATCACAAAATTGGAAAAACTTCACAATAAATCAAAATAAAATTACTTAATTTTGTATAATGTATTTTTGGAAAAGTACCAACACATACAGGCTATAAAGTCTATCTCAATTTGGCCTATCCTAAACTGATGACATTTATCTATTATGCAATATCATACATTGTACAAACACTTCATAATATTAACAAATGACATTAACACTTTCTGGTGCAAGATACACGAATGACTTTTGACCCAGAAATATACATGTAATTTCTTGTAATCTTTGGTCTAAATGTGTCTGCTTTTATTTCTTATGGCGACCATCATTTTACTTACAAAAGTATACTTCTAGCTCCATCTAATAACAAAATTTTAAAATAGAAATTTGAAATCAATATAGCAATTTTGCAACTTTTATTGAATTTTTTCACAACAAAAAGTTTTCCCACAATTTTTTTTTTTGGTTTAAGTTATTACTATTATTATTAAATAGTTTAATGTTTTGTTTTTTTAAAATGTAAATACAAATAAGTAAATAAGTATAAACATCAAATTATTGCAGATTAACGCACTTTTTATAGTGTGCAAATTTGCATATTTACGTAACAAAATGGCATATAAACGTAACAAAAGCTAAAATTTTGTTGCACATATTGCCATATATCTTTGTCAAAGGACAGAATACAATAATTAGAATGAATATAAACAATTACCTAATCAGAATTGAGCATGCATTTTTCAAATAGTGCAATTATTAATAAATGCTAATAAGTTGTTTTTTGCATTTGTATAAATTATTTTTATTATGAATAATCAAATCTGTATCAGCAAATACTTATATATCAAATTAAAGAAGAAAAAAAATTATCTGTAATATAGACTAGTCATAAAAACCACAAAGTTATTTGTTTTCAAATGTGCAAGATATTAAAAACAGGTCAACAAAGGTCAGTCCACAGAATCATGATACCTAAAAGAAAAGACCTGAAAGTGTGAATTAAAAAGCTAAATCCATAATGAGTAATTATTTATTTTGACATCATGCCGGGCTGCAATTTTTAATTTATTTAATTTAAAATATATGCTCTCTACCTCAAATTAGTAGTGTCTTGTCCCTGTACATCATACTTTTCCTATTAGATAGATGACAAGTATGACTCTATTCTATCTCCTTTCGGGGAAAAATTTTTGAATTGAAATAACATGACTTCCATTTGCATTGGATGTTCATATATAGTTAATCGGGCCTCCTGTCCCTAAGCTTTCCATATATGGTCTCAGCTTTCATCTATGTAAATCCATTCTTGAGATTAAGGAAAGACAGATGGATGGACAGACAGACAACAGTGAGAATTTATAGGATACAATTTTTTCAAATTGCAGCCCAATCAATCTCTCAATTTCTGTTGCACTGGAAATATTCAGATTTTGTAAAAGACTGCAATAGTGTTTTGAACCTTTCAAATTTTATGGGATTATGAATTTCAGTTGTTAGATTTCAACAGAGGATTGATTTTTTTGGATTTTTATAACATTTTTAAACAGATTTTTTGTTTTTTAATCTTTCAATTCTTGAAGTGAAAGAAATCAAAGGCATTTTTGGAGATTAATATTTTAGTTAGTTTTTAAATACTTTTTAATGTCCTAATTTTGAGGGGTATAAAATCGTGCAGACTGATGAGTAATAAAACTCATTATTTTTTAGAAAAAATTTGGACATTTTTATATGATTTTGTGGCTTTTTTTGACTATACAGTCAACTCACATTAATACAAATTGTTAGGGGAATAGTAATTAGTTCACTTTATCAAAAATTTGTATTAACAATTTTCAGGGTCAAGGTTAAGATTGTAAAATTTACAGAGTTAAGGATTAATAGGCAATCAAAATTTATAAATTATAATACAGGTATATCTTGCCTTACGTCGGTAATTGGTTCCAGGAGAGGCGACGTAAGTCAAATTTACTTGTCTCNAAGAAATACACAAAAATTTTCAATGAATTTATTAATTTCTTTAATAAAATGAATGGATATAGAGATATTGAAAAGATATTAATTATTAAATAGATAAAAAATTGAAATAAGGAAACTGATGTGTTAAACAATAATAAAATTATGGAAAATTTGGAAAAAAACATTGACAATGAAGGTGATAATTCAATTTGAGAATTAGTCATGCAGAGGAGACAACTTCACTGACTAAATAAAAGGCTATGAGTAAGTAAAACAATCAGTAACATTTTTCCTATTGATTGAAATCAAGAAATTGGTAAAACCATGCAGTAATTGAATGTATGTATTTCAAAAACTTTCTAATTCAATAATTCAAAAAATGTCTCCCATGTTTCTTAAAAAGAAATTATAAAGTAAGCAAACTCTATACATACACTAAAGAATATTTTTTGATAAACACCAACCTTATAACATCAAATATCAAGCTGGAACTGAGGTAAATATTCTAAAGTACACACCTTGCTCACTTTTACCAGCAGAATATTTGTAGTATTCTGCTGGTATATGGTTTACAAACGTTTTCAGCTTTTTTTGAGAAACCTACTTAAGGTGATTCTGGTTGGAAAATCTAATGTTGGAGGGCATTCAATTTTGTAATGCCTTATGAATTCCGATTATTAATTAATTGTAAAAATAATGTCAATACAGGTATACCTCACCTTACGTCGATAATTGGTTCCAGGAGAGGAGACTTAAGTCAAAAAATGACATAAGTCAAATTTACTTGTTGCTCGGCTAAACCACAAATAACCATTCCCAGTTGTGTATTTTATTTATAAATGCATTTTTAAAATATATTGTTAATAAGAATCTATTTTAAGCTTACAAACAAATAAATTTTAGTTTTTAATATAGTACAGAAAAAAGTAATCTAAATTTACGAATTCATGTAGGTACAGTACATACTTGTAAATGTACATGTTTACAATTTGGCAATGTTTACAGTACATCATGGACTCTATTTGTGAATGTGGTTTGCTCTAAGACATTATAAAATATGATGATTTTGTAAGGTTAAATAACAGATACAGTTATTAAAATTATCTTGTGACAGTAGAAAATAAACTAATTTATATTAAATTTACCAATATCAAGTGGCGCTGATGACGACGCAAACGGTAGATATTGGAGCTACTGTAGAAAACACCATAATTGAGCACTTAAAGACCGCTAAATAAGACAACAACACAGAAACACAGATGTTTTCATGTATCATTCTCTAGGATTTATAATGATTATATTAACATTTACTGTAAATGTACATATTTTAATATGATTTTATGTGCTTTAACACTTTTCTAGTGATATTACGACTTCAACATTTGTGGCAAACAGACGTAAAGTTGAATAAAATGACTTAAACTTGATTTTCATTTTTCTATATATTTTTTGACAAACGACGTATAATCAAGAGCGATGTAACTCGAGGTATACCTGTATTTTGCAAAGTTAAATAAACATAAAATTTATTTACAAAAATCAATTAATGTTCAAAATGATTTTCAAATCAAATAAAATGAGGATGACACAGTATCCACCATTTAAGTGTGGAGCAGTATATCATAGTAGTTAAACAAAACAAAGCTAAAGAAATCTGCGATTTTTTTCTTTCTGTTGAAGACTATTTGAAAAAATAGAAAATGTGTTTTGGCACTAAAAAAGTAAAAAAAAAAGGAGCAAAATTTGGTGCAAAGCAGCTAATCCTAGCCTTGCTTTAAGTTACCCCCCCTATATTGCATGGGACCGCATCCATTTAAAGGGGTAGACATCCTTAAACTGTAACCTTTATTTTCCGAGTACAATAGAATGATCTGATAAAGCCACATGTTTGAATTGCTCTACAAATCAGAAGTTAAATCACCTTTGTTTACTAGAAGAAAATCTATTCTACTCAAAACAGAACATTTATTACAGTATCATTTTGCCTTTTATACTTTTGTATGTGAATAATAAATTGTTTATTTCTTGGGAATTATGAAAATAATTTATAGTTTAGTTTAACAAATTTTAGTAAAATTTTTGTTTACTTTATCACTGAAAATTAACATTGTGACGATGGCATTTTGCCAAAGCAATGGCAAAATTTGCTTTATTGATGTTTGTTTTAAGGCAAGTCAACTGTAATTTAATGAAGATCCCTCAATTCTCACTATGCCAGAAGTAACACTTACAACACTACTTTTTAAATTTCCATACACAATTTATGGATAAAAGCTATTGCTTTAATCAAAAAACACTATGACCAGTTCTCAAAAACTTATAGTTTTATGACAACTTTTTCTACTATTACTATTTAATGTTTCTGTGAGAAGCCTGGCTAGCATTTTCATAATATTTGTTCAAAGAGAAAAATTATTTAAGCTCCAGATAACCAATATAACAGGAAGTTTACAAGATTTTCTCTTTGATAACGTTTCCTTCGTAAGTGATACACCTTCTAACAAAACCTACTCATCAAAGGAAACTTTGCCTAAAATCGGGGATTGGACCATCACTCAGCTCCCTGCACAGGTTCACCAAATTTGGGCATAAGAATGGAAGGAGCAAAGACCCAAATTGCCGAAAAAGAGATTGTTTGATAGTTATCAGAATAAAGTTTTTTCGTTTTTGGTGCAATCATTTTCCATTAAGTTTTTTTTTTTTTTATTGTTCTACAGTATTATTATTATTATTACTTAACGAATTACTTACAAGACGTATATTTCACCATTACGGAGTATTCATTCCCAGATTTATTTCACACCTAACGCCCTCTAAATGATAAAAATTCGGTTTCTTTAATATGAAACATTAATAAACAAAAATTTTATTTTAAGAACAATTTTTAATAATTAAAATGAAAAAGTGTCGTATATCCACATAAAAAATTATTATTATTTAGACATAATAAGCAAAACCGACTTTACGAGACAACCCGGCCGAGCGGTTAACGTGACAGCCTACCGAATTGGGATCGAAGTCGGAGAAGCCGAGAGTCTCCAGAAATTTTTCAAGAACCAGTTATAAAAAGTAATGGTCAGTTGGTACCCAGGGGGAACAAGTGGCCCTAGTCTCTTCAAAAGGAAAACAGTAGAAAAATATTTTCTTAAAATTTTTATTTATATTCTCTGGTGTCTTCTATTTCTAGACTACTTCTGAATTAGTGGTCACATAAGGTGCGAATAATTGATTTCGCATTAAAAATGTTTTTTATCCGTTTAACTCGGCCTCCCAAGAATAAGTTCTGAGTGCGCCACTACTAGTGATGAATAAATCCCATATAGTAGAATTTCAGTGATTAAGTGTTTTTTTATTGAAACTAAACCAAGAAGTGGTACTTTGGTTTCTGTGCGAACACTTTCGGGGAGATTTTCCATGTATATAAATTCTTCGTCAATCCATTCAACGTCTTTGACAGAGTCACGTACGATGTTTACCATGAGCTCCCTTTCAGCAAATTTACTTGCTACATTAGTGAGTTAAAAACTTATATAATAAGATATTTTTTGTACAACTCGTCATGCTGATCAAATTTTCTCCATATGCCTTTGCGTTTTTATTCCTATGCAAATACCCAAAGCCATAACTAGGGTATGGCCAATGTGACCCCCCGCCATAGGCGCCGATTTAAAGGCTGTCAACGTGAAGGCTTCGAAATAATATGTATTCGAAATTAATAACACAAAAAATTTTTATATTTATATTTATATAATATTTAAACGTCATTAGATAATTCTTTTACAATAGTATTTTTTTAGAATAAAATTATTATTTTTTTAATAATAAAAATTAAAAAGGCGCCATTTTTATTCTTGGCCATAGGCGTCCAAAATCCTAGTTATGGCTCTGCAAATACCCAGTGGTGCCTCTGGAGAGATTTGCAATATGGATACTGAGAGTTTCAGAATAAAAGAGCAATGGATGCGCAATTTTGTTATACAAGATCCACTCATAACCCAAATTGTATAGTTGGTAAGCAGTGACATCACACTGCCCTAAACCCCTCCCCCTTCTTTGTCACAAATTGTCACATTTCTTAAACTACCTCTCTCTTGGGGCGTAACATCACTTATCAACGATCCCATATTTTGGCACACAATTCCTAAAAGTGTACAGTAAACAGTTGGCAAGATACTTATTATAGTCTTAACCCTTTTAACATTTAGTGCCGAAAGTGGTTGGTCTCCGATAGTTCAGAGTCAGTTGAAGGTCACTGAGATAAATCTACTTATATTATTTAAAAAATTCGTATAAAATCAAATTTTTATAATAGAAGTATGAAAAAATAATGCTAATATGCAAGTATGAATAGTTTTGTTTGGTATATTTTTTATCTGTTTGTATTTTGTATTTTTTCTTCAAAAAATTTGTGTTTTCTTGCTTACATTAACATAAAACAGTATGCAGAAATTTCTCTAGTATAAAAAATTAAAAATTATGCTAGCGTGGCTTAGGATTAACGGGATAAGGTGACGCAGCACTTGTGTGACTTGCCAATGGAGAATGCTTCCCGGAGACTTCCTATGAGAAACTGGTTCATATTTATGTATTAGACATGTGAAGGAAACTCAGAAAACTCCGTGTGACCAGTTCGTTGGTGAGATGCGAACCTGCAACCAATTATCAGTGTTCAGTGGTTTTATCCACTCGGCTATTGATAGCCTGCTGGAGTGGCAAGATTCATTTTTTATATAACCTTCCGAGTCAATAGATAGGGGTTTATCAGGCTCTTCGAATTTAGCTTCCCAACGAATATGTTTGCAACACTGCCTCCTAAACTCTGTAATTTTTATCAACAGCTACACAATACAGTAAAACTTCGGTTATACGTTTTTGAAGGAATAATATGTAAAAAACGCACAAATAAATACTCATAATCAAACCAACTCTTCCGGCCTATCGCTTTGAGGGATCTGGGATCAAATCCGAACAGGTCGAAAAGCCAAGGAATTTTTCGGGGATGGACTGTCCGGATATATCGGACCCCATCCCTCACCATCCGACCGGCCTATTGTGGGTCTGATCGAACTCACAATTTGCTAAAAACTCTTCTTAGGGACCAAAGAGCAAAAAGAATTTTTTTTAAAAGTAGAATGACAAATAAAAACTATTTATTTACTATAATTTACAACTAAAATGGGTGATGATTATAGTTGACTATCTACAAAACAGAAAATTGAAACAAAAAAGTTACAAAAACATCAAAAAAGTAAGGCAGAAATACGATAAAATACAAAAATTGTAATAAATGATCCTATAACCTTGGCTGCAGGCCCCTCTCATATATATAAACCGCAAAAGCGAAAGTTGTAAAGGAATGTTGTGGATAGCCACGACCTTTGGCTGTGGTATTAGGTACAACTCCAGAATAAAAGCCAATAGGAAAGGAGCAGTATCCGGAATAACATTATGTGCTATATACTAGAGTTAATTGTATACCCTTTCTCTTTAGTCATTTTTGCCAATTTTCATGACGTTGAAATTAATTTCGATACATCATTGCATTATTGCCGTCATGTTTTGTTTACACTGTTACAATTTTTACTAGTAATCAGGTTTTTCATGCATTTAGTCGCCTTTGTGCGTAAACCGCGCGCGATGAATTTTACGAATAAAACCTTCTATAGGCAATGGCCTATAGCGAAGATTTTAGAGTATGTAAAAACCACTAAATGCCGTTTTTTGTATGTATTTCGCATATCTATAGCTCCAAATCGTTTTCTTCATTCACGTTATTGCTTAACACAAAATGTCCGATAGTGGTTAATTTTCAAATACAAGTTCAAACTAGTTTACAGTTGAAATCTGTAAGCCAATCAAACATCATAATTTCAATTTCCGAAGGTTGAATGGGCGGGATCCAAAGAAAGGCAGTTTGATTTATTTTTCAACAGTTTAAATTTTAAGTTATAAATCGTTTAACAAATGAAATTCGTTGATAGTTTAAATTTCAAAGTTCGTTAGCATTGGGCCGTTAGATTAACTTAGTATTCGAACAACTCTAAAATTTCTTCCACTTAAACTTTCTGCTGCTGATTGTTGGAACTCTTCCTATAGTGTAAGACACGCCCTTTTCCTTTATACGTCCATTTTTGAATGTATTTATTTATTTTATGTTAAACAATTAGTAGAAATAATGGGCACAATTCAAGTTTGGAATGAGGGATGGCGACCCCACCTCATTCGAACTTTCGAAGCTTGAATCTTACCAAATAATGCATCAGACGCACATATTCGTGCAATGTCGGAAAGCCATTTCTTGGATTTAGATAAATGTTAATTAAAGTACAGTAGAGCGTCGTTTACTGAATCAATTGGGGACTAGGGTTGTTCGGATAACCGATTATGTACAAAAAATATATTAACCTATCTCGTGTTGAAATTTTTCTCCATTTCGTGTCGCTTCGCGTTGAATTTTCGTCGATGTTAGGCCTAATGCAAACTTTTTAAAATAATCGTGACTATTGTATCGTTAAAAATTATTTCTTTATTTTTTACAAACAAAATAAATATATTGAAAAATATAAAAACAAAAAAAATTATACTTTAGAAGTTAATCTAGTATCAAAAACGTTCGATTCAGCACGACACACAATCCTCAGAAAAACACCACACAAAAGTGCCAATGCTGCCAGCTAAAACACATATCAACAAAAAACATATTGGAGTAGCCCAAGATATAGCCAAAGATTGCAGCACACAGCACTAGTGAAAATTTAAATTTGCCGACTGGAATTCTTTCGGATAAACGATGCTCTACTGTAACTACCCTGTATGTTGTGTCTAAATTTGCATAGGCAGTTATAAAAAAGACACAGCTGTCCCTTGATAGTCCGACGTTTTGTAATTCGACATGCTCAGTAGTCCGACGCACCTCCCGTCAAGGTACCCGTCCCTGTTACGTGTCTGCTTGCACAGAAGCATGTCACGACGTGAATCTCCCCACCAATTCTTACACGATGACACATTTCGTGTGCTTTCCGTGAGCAATTCTGTTCGAACAGTTGGAGTAGAGAATATTGTAGGCTATTGCTAGCAAAACAATGGCAAATATATAATCACTTTCGGTAATCCGGACACTTTTTGTAATCCGACACCCCTTTGGTCCCATACTTGTCGGATTATCAAGGGACACCTGTAATTAGTACTATTAAAAGACAAAATAGGTAAGAAAAATAAAAATTTATAGCAAATGTTTATTAATTAAATAAAATAAACGTAACTTAAAATAGATAAAACATTTAGTAGTTTGTTAGTATCAACTTTGAATGTCTGTGTATATTTTTAGCTGTAGTATATGAATGCAATACAGTACTTACAAGCAGTGATGACATTTGAAATATTTAACAAAGGGTTCGCTAACAGAAAATTTTTCCTTAACAATTTTTTTTTCGCTCAAATGGTGCATCGGAAGCCTCTAGTTTAGTAGTGTTACAGAGTATAATACGTATATTTTAATATTTTCAAAAGAATCAAACCATTGAGAAATGTTACATGTGTTTGTTAACAAGGTTCTGAAAACTTTGAAAATGTTAACAACGGGTTCGGCCGAACCTGTGCGAACCCGCTGAATATCACCACTGCTTACAAGGGACCATATCCAGAGGATCCTCATAAAGTTTAATAAAATTTTGTAATAAAAGATTGCACGTTAAATAATAATAATAAAAAAAAAGCTGCTGATATGCAGTACAATAAAATTTTATTGCTCAGAAGTATTACAATAACTTTGGTTCTGTTTCACCAAATTCTGATCACTTTCAACAAATTTGAGTGTCTTTAATAGCAATTCTTGATTGTCTATAAAATATATGGTAACACAGGGAATGCATTTATTCATCATCATCATAAACATGAGAGGAATTATTCTAAAGGTAACAAAGCTTACTAAGAAGTAAATAAATTGAATTGGAGTCTACTTTGAATAATTTGATGATACAGTACTATGAAGCAAAAATTTTGCAACATTTAAAGGATTAATTTTCACTATTTATTTAATGAAATGTAACAAACTGTGTTGCACAATATGAAAACAAATCACTGAGCAAATGCATATCAGCAGAATATTCATATGCTATTTTCAATTAATTTATGAGTATTTTTATTACTGTAAATTTTGCTTATACCCAGGAATGCCCTCTGAGTACGATTGATCATTAGTATAGTATATTTTTAAATGTATTTTTGATTAATTAAAGTACTTTTCTTAAACAGAAAAATTTCAATTTCTAGAACAATTTATTTTCTGTTATATTTACAATGACAAGTACAATTTTAGGTTTATTGAATGCATTCGAACAAAGAATATCATAACTTCACGAAATGACTATCTCAATGAAAACGTTTTTCATTCATTTAGAAATCTGGAAATATTTCAATTTTTTAAGTACAAGTTAAACCAGTTTGTACATTTAAATTGTTTATCAACATTATCACAACCATTCAATAATCTTACTGGAATATCATATACTACATTTTCACTCCATTTTCAGACAAACAGAAACAAAACTTTTTCACAACATAAGCTTTTACAACAGACTTTTCTTAAATAACTTACAAAATATTTAAACATAAGATATTAACAGCTCTAACTTTTTAAACTCTTAGTATTATAAACTATTTTGTTAAAAATCATCTAAACCTAAATTAGATTACAAGTATGACTGATCTCTATGTGAAAATCAGTTTTGTTATTTATTCTACGGTGCGTTGAATGTACAAGTCCATATAATATAATAATTGCAGTTGGGTCGAAAATACAAAAAAATGACAATTTGGAAGTAATGGGTAGCATTATGCTATCATAATTTTAGATGTTGATCTAGAATTTGTTTATATTTATCCAATTTGTTGATAAACACATCAACAACAAATAGGAATGCAAATGTATTCTTAAATTATGTACAACATAACCTTATGAAAATATTAACCAAAGCAAATCTAGGCAATAAAAATAAAACAAACACAAGTTGAAATATGTATAAACTATAAGAATGATATTTAATAAATTTTTTGGCAAACTGTACAAATTAAAATATTGGTCCACATTGCTGAATGCAGCTTACTTCATTAAGGAAAAAAGTCTTTGCAGTGTATTTAATAAGATATGTCTTATAAGAGCAAATATAGAACAAATCCACTTCTGGTCCATGCTAGCTTGCAACAAAAGTCAGAAGGGAAAATAAATCCATTGTTATACCACATTATTTATTAATATTCAATAGCTTGAGGCACTCCATTAATTGTTTTTGACTTCAAAATACCATCTTCATGAACAGTCACAGTTTCAACTCCATTTTCTACAGTACTAAAAAAAACCAAAATACATTAATTAATAATCTGAAAAAACATTATTCAATTCTTAAATTCTTCACCAATGCTAAGAGTATTTTATACATAATGCAATTTCTTATTTTTTATATATTTACAATTTATTAGATATTTTTCTGTAGTTCATTATCTTAAAAAATTTAATAGAATAAAAAGCTTTGTGAATTAACAGTTTAAATTCTAATAAGAGATGGCCAAATGTCCTTTGTAATGTAGATATTGGGTATGCACTTACTGAGTTACCTGGATATTACCCAGTTAACTCAGTACCTGTTAAAAAGATTTTGTACAAAAAAAAAAATGCAAACGAGTGAAAAAAATCCAGTAATGCAGTCTATGTAATGTCCTAATGTACTATGGAAAAACACCAGTAATCTATTTAACTGTTTTTAATTGAATATTCTAATAAACTAGCAGATGAGCCCGGCATTGTTCAGGCAAAAAGTAACTATAGAAAAGATTATTAGATTATAGCTGATCTTTCCCGTTTTCACCGAGTACAAAAATTGGGTTCCACTCTTCCAAGACTAATTAGAGAATTTTTAGATGGGTCTAAAAATATGTTTGACTTCCCACAAAAAACCACATCTAAAATAGTACAGTAGAAGCAGAGTTCTTGAGTGTAATCCTTAATCCTCTCCCTCTCCCCCATGGAGAGGAATTTTGAAGAATCCCTTCTTAGTGTAACATTCTTATGATGTACCCTAATTATGTACCCAAATTTCAACCTTCAATTCCTAACTGTTTAGGCTCTGTGCTGATTATTATTATGATCATCATCATCATCCCATCTTGATTATATTATAAGACTAGCCGACCCCGCCACGTGTTGTTGTGACTCAAAATGTATCTATTATAAATGTATAACACTTCCCCCGTGGGGGGGGGGGAATTTTTCAAAAAATTTCTTCTTAGTGTACATTCTCTTGACGTACCCTATTAAAACGCAAAAACCCGCATCTAAAATAGTATAATAGAAGCCAAGTTCTTCACGGTAAGCCTTAATCTTAACCATCTCCCTTCAGTGGGGGGGAATTTCGACATGTATATTATATAAAAACACGTGTGTATTCGAATGCAGCATTGTGTCAAAATTTCAAAGGAATCGGTAGGAACAAACAAACATTACATTTTTATTTATACAGATAGATAGATGATCTGCTTTAGTTCATTTTCACAGAAAAGCATAATGCCTCACAGAAAAGCAAACTTAGGGCGTTGTACTCGTAGCACCATCTGTTGGACATAAAAGCCTTAACCTAGATTATATCTTTTAATTTATATGAATGTTTAACGGAATAAGATACAGCCTATGTCCACCCTGAAGTTCCATTCTAAATATTGGTGAAAGAATTTTTGAAATCAGATGAATAGTTTCGGAGATTACACGCTACATCCAAACTTACTTATTTACAAACATTACCTCTTTATAATATTAGTATAGATTAACACTCAATTTTTAAAAAATCAATTTTAAAAATTAAAACTTTTAATTAGTAATATTTAGGAAGGGAATTTTGTGGGCAATTTCAGTGTGATTTAACTAATTACAAATTTTTGTTTTCTATTACAGTTAAGATAACCCTTATGATTTAATGTAAAAAAAGAAAATATATTTGCCAATAGGCCAGAAGGATAGGACAGAAATCTTTCACACAGATATATTAGAGACAATAAAAATTATAGATTTGTTACAGGCAGATCTAAATGTGAAAGATGGAATTAGAGAGAATGATTGCAAAAGTGAATAAAATATTCTTGTGGATGGAGAATTTGGATGAAGCTATTGTGGGATTTGAATATAGGTTAGAGTTACTGGAAAAGAAATTGATGCAGGAGGAGGATTTGGCCTCAACTACAGAATGAGTGAATTTGCAACAGTGAATCTCAGAAATTAAGGTGCTGGAAAAAAGTTTAAGGTTGCTTAAATTTTTTTTCATATTTTCCATATTTTTGAAAATTATTTATTTCTGCTGTTGATATACATTAATCAAAAGAAGAATACACACATTTATACAATTATTACATAGAAGTAAAAAAATTAACAAAACTATTAGAAAAAGTTAAAATTTTAATGAAATCTACTTGGAAAAAAGTATAAAGTCGTTTTCACAACAGTTAATTGCGAAAATTGAATTACACAAGTTTAGACTTGTTAAAATCTGCTAAGTATTCTATATGGTGTCCATTCTATAATTTTACTTGCAGCAATGCCAAAAGAAAAACATTTGTCAGGATTTGAGAGAGGCCAAATTTTAGCATTTTCAGAAATGGGATTGAATGGAGAAACAATTTGATTAAAAATTGAATGATCTAACAGTGTGTGAATGGATTTCTACGTGATCCAGAAAATAACAGTACTAAGAAGAGGTCAGGAAGACCACAATTGTTAACAGTACATCAGAAATCTCAGATTGTAAACCTTTCCCATCATAAGAATGTCCTCAAGAACTATTTTGGGAGAATTAGAATTAAATTGCACATCAAGAACCATTAGAAATGTTTTATCTGCCAATGAAAATTTAAAATTCTCTAAAAGGAAAGTTAGACATCCTTTAACACAAGCACATCAAGAAGCAAGACCAGTATGCACTTGAACACATTTGGCAGTAAATGGGCTGATGTAATATTTTCAAATGAGAAAAAATTTAATTTGGATGGACCTGACAGTTTTAATTACTACTGGCATGACATCAGAGATGATAGGTCTTACTACTCAGCAGTAAGTTGGTGGTGGTTATAATGGTATGGTCCGGCTTTGAAAGTCAGCCCATATCATTACAACACCAATCGCATTTATCACAACAAGAATAAATTATTCTAAATATCAAGATATTTTTGGCAGAAAATTGTTGCCTTTTGGACCACTTATTACATCTGGTGATTGGATATTTCAGCAAGACAATGCATCAATTCACTGCTCTATGGCAACAAAATCATGGTTTACAGCTAATAAAATAACTGTTTTAAAATGGCCAAGTAGAAGTCCTGATCTAATCATATTGAGAATCTGTGGGGAATTTTTGTCTGTTAGATCTGTACACAAAGATTTTAGTATATTTACATCTAAGCAGGATTTGATGCAAGCCATTGAAAAAACTTGAAATAATTCTGATATACAAAATAAACTATCATCATCAATGATTGAAAGACTAATAAAGGTTATTCAAAATAAAGGCAGATTTGCTGGCTTTTGGCAGTGTAATTATTGAAAATATTGTATGACCTTATATTTTTATCCAAGTAGATTTCATTAAAATTCTAACTTTTTTGAATATTTTAATTAATTTTTTAAATTTCTGTTTAATAATTGTATATAGAGCATTATGAATGTTTTATAAGACTTAATAACATGATTATTTCAGGATTTCCTGAGATAGATCAGGAAGATCCAAATTAAGGATACTATGTTAAACATTTTTTTGCAATAAGCTGAATGTTAATAATGTTTCCGTAGAAAAATGTTACAGATTAGGATATGTAAAACTGGAAGGAAAAGATTAATTTTTTGGATTGTAGCAATAAATGTAAGATCAAAAGTATGTCATTTAAGCTGAAAGGTTCCAATATTTATATAACGGATAACCTACCTCCTTTCACTAGTGAAGTTTAGCAAAGGCCCTCACTATTTTCCTAAGATGAAAAAGGGAAAGGGGCATAGATTAAATATATAAACAATGGTAATGCAGTCAAGGTAAATGACAAGGTTTTTACTTATAATCCATTCACAAAGAGCATGGAAATGCAAGGTGGATCTTGACTTCATTCTGATGTTTCAATAACATTGTGGAATTGTGAGGGAATTCTGAACAAATCATATTTATTTTGGCAATTTTTGTCTTCTTTTCAAGTTCTCGCTTTCTCAGAAACTTGGTGAGATGGTAAATCCACTGTTCAATGATTGTGAAAATTTTGTAATCATTCAAGAAATTGGTTTTCGTGAAACTAATAGATGACATTATATAGCAGGTTGGATGCTCTTGTTAAGCAAATTGTTATCTTATAAGGGGACCTTACGGTCTTGGAAATTCTGTTTGGGATAAGACTTTGCAGGTTAGTAGTATACCTCAAGGGTGTCCACCCAGAAAAACTGTAAAGTGCACTAGCCAGAAGATTCTGAGTAAAAAGGCTCTAAAGTTTTAAGCTCAGCTCATATACTGATCGATCTTACACTATGGCAGCACAGCAAAATGGCTGAGTCTGTAGCAAATTTGCTTGCAACACAGGCGATCTAGGTTCAATCCTACCTTCAGCAAACTTTTTTTTTTAATTGTTTTAAAAATTGTAACACTTTTAAATAAAGTTAATGACCTAAAAATATTATCAATTAAATCATAAATAATTTTATTTTATTTATGAAATGAGTGTTACAGCTAATTAAAATGCGAATTAAAGATAATATTTTATTTTTAAAAAGTTGAATAATTTCAAATGCATTTTTGTCCAATAACTGTCAACTTTCACACCTGGGAGCTAATCATTCCATGAATTTTCACAAGTCAGCAGCAAAAGTGATACTTTCACATAACATATTGTCTTATGGTGGGTTGAAGATAATGAATTGAAAAATTCTTCAAATTTAAAACAAATATTTTTAACCTCTCCACAGTTTATTATAACTTAAAATTTGTAATAACTTTTTAATGACAATAGTAATTAAAGTTTTAATTTACCTCCATTAAAAATGCATTTGAAATTATTTAACTNAATTTAAAAAAAAATTTGCTGTTTATTTATGTTCAAAAGTAACTATGAATGGGCAAAATTTCAAGCGGTTTTCTTGACTTCGAGAAATACTAGTGCTAAATATAACAATTAATTATAACAATAAATGATTACTAACTACTTAAACAAATAATACCAGAAACGCTTAAGTGGCTTCCTCTCTTTTGGATCGAAGCGCATAGTTACAACTTTTAAATAAATTTAAAAAAAAATTTGCTGAAGGTAGGATTGAACCTAGATTGCCTGCGTTGC